TACCCTGATTGACGGGCGAATTGAAGAAAGAGATCGATCTCTCCAGGAGCAAAGGCTGGCAGAAGTTGAAGGCGACGACACAAGCTCTAGCAGGGATACCTGCAAGCAGGGGCCATTTGACGACCTTCAATGACTCCCATTGGAGAGTGTTTGGCGATTTAGTTGTCACTAGATAAATATTAGCACAGAATCCCGCATATCGGCATAGATAGCTGGTTACCTTTGCTCCATTTCTCATCAAATCGAGTCAGTAGGCGCTCAGAGCTCAGTTCTTTATCCAATGAAAAGAGATCTTCCACACGCAAGACACCGGTGTAGCCGAGCTTGAACAGTGGGTTCAGCCACCAGAACACAGCACGGTTATAGAAACTTGCAGTCGCTTCTGGAGGATAATCCGCGTATTCCGATTTTAGGATGTGCTTCTTCTCCACAGCCTCGAGCACGAACAGAACCGCTTTGACACTGACCGCTACTGTAGCGAGAATGGCAAGGATGTCATTGAAGCTGTCCACACTGCGAAGCCACAGAGTTCTAGAACGAGCGATATCGAAAAGCAAGCTGCAGAACAGGTAGGTATTCAAAATGAAGGAGGGTCGCACAGAACGCGTGTGCTCTGCATATGAAAGCAGGACGAGCGCGAGTAAGCCGACTGTGAGGAGCACATTGGCTGCAACCGATGCTTTGGTAATGTCGGCTGCCGGAAGGGCCCATAGGGCTGTTTGTGCAATTTGAAGACCCAGCAGTGCCAACCAAGCCGCCTGTTTAGATATGCTTATTAGATAAGAGTATCACGAATCCAATAGTTTATCAATTGCAAAGACCGGGGGGGGACTGCATCCGAACTGCACAAAGCAGAGTATATCAACATAGTTAACTTACAAGCTTGACGAACACCAACCATGATCCCACAACCTTGTTTCGTTTTTGCGAGAGAATCCACAGACGGCCAGGAATAATAATTAGCATTAATAGAATAGGTAATATCTCGAGGATAGTCTCCTCAAATAAAAGAGAGAAATCGAATCCTCCGCGACAGGATCCAGCATCAATACGGAAAGTATTATCTAGATCGCGGCACGAAGGCCCTGAAAAGCCGGAAGATGTCATGACTGTTCCTGAACCACCTAGCGACGGAAGGATGGTTAAAGAAAAGAAAGACGCAGTAACGAGCGACACGGGGAATTAGAAGTCAAAAGAGTGTATGGTTAAAAGAACATGCATGAGCTCGGGGAACTTGCGGCTTTTTGGGCTAGATCGGATGGGTCAAAAAGTGACATAAGAACAGTCAGCTTTACTAGTTACTAGATCAGCATAATAAAGGTACCTAGGGCTAGACGAGGTCCGCATCCCTATGGGCAGGAGCTCATTGCATCTAGGAGAACTAAAACACCGAGACTACCCTTTTGACCCTACTACTGGTTGGCTGCATCAAAGCGGGAATGAATCCAGCTCTTGATGCAACCATCTTACAACAATACTAGTACTGAATGACTTGTGAGCTCATCTAGACTCGGTTCGGTGTGTATGGATCCATCCTGCTGCATCTGTTTTTCTTTGTTTTTCTTTGTTTTTTGTTTTTGTTTTACTATAAGACCTTGGGAGATTGGACTGTGATTTCATGACCCCACCTCCGTCATCAATAGTGGTCCTGATTCCCAAGACAAATTGCGGATAGGCTCGTTCGCCCCCCTTGAGGATGTGGGGGATATCCACGGCATCGCTATCCCTCCGTCCCTGGAGTCAAGGAAACCTCGAGTAAATCCCGAGCGACACGAGGGAGTCGTGCTACCTTGCAGAAATAAAATAATTAGACTCCAATGAGTCCAATGACCTCAATGACCTCCAATGAGTTGCAATGGCGAATGTCTGGGCATCTGGGCGCGTGTCGAGTTAGGGCAAAGAAATCACTTCCCGCTCATGTGAGGGCGAAAAAAGATCTGTAGGATGGGAGATCTGCCGGATCTGGCTTGAAACAGTGTTTATTATTAATTGAATTGAATTTAATATAATGTAATCTATTTCTATTCTTATTCTTATTCTCACTCTCCAAGCTTACAGTCTCAGTGCGTAGATATATATTTCTCGAACTCTGCTTGACCGCAGATGTTGAAGTTAGACACGGTGAAGCAAATCGCTTGAATCTTCCACATCTGGAGAAAAACATAGGAAATAAGATGCATAATACAACTGGCTTGTGCGAGTTCCGTCACAATTATAATTCTCCAAAATTGAATCTCCAATCTCCAACTCCAACCGCCATCACATTTTGCTCCTAGTGCCTCCGCAGTGGCCGTAGGATTCGAAAATTCATTTCATCCGGGCCAATCGTTCCTTTTTACTCAACCATTTGGCGTGGCCCACATTGAATCCTTCGGAGTTTTCTGCTGTCATCGGCATTACGGATTTCAATTGCGACCGCCCAACCTGAATGCTGCATATTCCAAGACGTGATGTGGTTCGCGTGGCGCTCACTGAGCCAATGTGCATAAGTCGGGATATGTACCTACAGCTGTAGTGCCTGACGAACAATCGTCCCCGATGGAGCCGATTGACCAGGGTAAGCCGGTTTTCATTTTCATTTTCTCCTTGTCCTCGAGGCGTGGTTGATGCGTGGCAAATACTCTGCATAATGGACCCCACTGATTTACGGAGTACATCTGTGCCAATTGTGCTCACGTCTGCAGTTGATTCCAGACTGTCTGACGGAGAGACATTTCTGTAATGTATTTGGTATATTTCGTACTCCCATAAGTCCATGCACTTGGAAAATGTTCGTTTATTTTTCCCTCTTAAGTTGGGGCTCAAAGCGTGCAGAACCCGATAAAGTGATCTATCCGACGATCAATAAAGATCAACAATGAGATCAACCTGTTAGGTTGCTCCAATGTTCTTAGTCCACAATCGACGCCGAACTGCGGGCGCTAGGCTAGCTTGTCATAAGTGTCAACTAGTGCAGATTTGGTATTGCCAATATCGGCCCTTTCCCGTGCGGATCTCTGAGGGAAAAATGCCATATCCCTATAGGTGGGATGTACATCCACTCATATCCACTTAGCTTCTTCAAATCTTGACTGATATCTTGACTAGTGAGAATAGTGGGCATACAAAGGTACGGTCCAGATCCTGCTTATACGAGAGCGACAGATCCAAGAAGAGTTTTAAACAAGAAAATAAAAGAGAAGGCGAGGAAGGAAAAAAACAATCTACATACTGCACCCCATGAGGTCATGTTTTTGACGCAACTGGGTATGATCGGAGGAACCGTACGGAGTAGCTACCGAGTGAGATATTGTATCCCACTTTCAGTTTATGCGCATATTCTCGTCTAGCATTGAGCTATTGAATGTATTGTGGATATAACTAATATAAAAATACAGCCAAGTCGACAAGTCTCCGGGTTCGGATACGCCCGTATCCCTTGGAGGCCCTTGCAGGAACGACCATTCGTGGTCTGTTGTGTCTTACACATCATGTACTCATTAGATTAGTTACATGGATTTCCTCCGTAAATTGTAACTCTTGAAAGTTTCATTCTGAGATCCAATCGCCGGCTATGCCGAAGAAGGTCTAATAATGTGTCACTTCTAACCGAGTATCCCTCCGATGCAAGTCATAGCTACCCCCGTATATTCTGATTTATAGACTGAGAGAGTTGGATACCCGTGGACGAAGAGGGTGATGACCTCAGATCGGGTATCGGACCCGCGACCCACAGCCGGCTTTTCCTTGGGTTTTTCTTGACTCCTGAACATCCCCTGAGCTTCTCCAAGGCTTCCAAGATCAACACATCATGTCATGCCGGGAAATTAACTTTGCCCGATCACCGGACACAGTCGCCACCTCCGCTACTCGATGCGGTCGTGCCTGAACTGCGCGATGATCCCTAGTTCGACCCGTCCTAGCTCGCCACACCTTGCTGATACAGTCCCCAGTTTTCGGAATTCCATGCCATGCACCCATCACCAGAGCTTCTAAAGTACAAAGTAGAGGTGAGATTGGAGTAAGTAGTCCGGGGTCAGTGCCATGTGCACACCAGTCGGTGTACATCGTGACCTATAAACGCCTCACGAGGCTCGTATAACTGTGGCGATGCCAATGCAGCAGAGAAGCAAGAGCTTTCATCCGCGGTGTGAAGTGAAGGTATCGGCTATATCCTAGCTGGGCACATGTACCTGACTACCAGCTTACTATAAGCGGTTTGACATGCCCAGGTAGTCAGTAACGCCAGCAACGTCAGCATTGCAACCTTGTAAGGATAAGGCAAAAAATAAAGAGCACCCCGTGGACGATAACGCCATCCAGTTTCAACATGATTCGGAGTTGAAAAGCCTTACGCCCCTGACGGCTCGCTCTGAATCGATATTCCCACGTTCCAGACCGCAAGGGCTCTAGATCGGGGAAACTGCGGGCTCTGAAAGAGCAGTTGCTGTGGAGTACAGAGTACACAGGCGCATAGTGTAGGGACCTTTCCCCTGCATGATGACCTTTTGGTATTAGGTCGAGTCAGCTAGTCCTTTTCTAAGGGTTACATTGGCAGTTCAAAATAGAAAATATGAAATTCGACATGGCAATTCGCTTGGAAATAAAAGAAAACAAGAAAAAAGAATAGCAGAAAAGAGTCTGAATCGGTTCCACAGGGGGGCCAAAGTACGCCTGCTCCACGTATTGTCTCTCTCCATCCTTCTCCCTTTCATCTCGACCCCATGCAAGGAATATAGCGCCTATTACTGGATTCTTGAGAGTGTGGCCCATGCCGTCTTCGGCCGGTGAACGTAGCTATTTTCGATGTGGTAGGAAATTAATACTTTTTTTTTAGAAAAAAAAAAACTTGTTGGTTCTTTAAAATAAGGCGAGACCGTCCGAGTTCGCGGCGCTCTTTAACCACTGTCGAACTAATAGTGTCATTCATTCTTCGTACCTTAGGCCCACACTCTCTTTATCGACCGGAAAACACAAAACGAAATAGAAGGCAGCCTGGTAATACCCAGTCATTAGACAGCATGGCTCAATCCACCAAGTGTTATCTTCCGCGGTTCGCGTCGACGATTGACGGGCCTAAACGCCCAGTCTCGATGAAGACGAGACCAACGGCTGCTCAGCATGCGCAGTTATTAACCGCATCGAACGAAGGCCGTCTGGACCCAATGCTACGAGCCACCTGGGCTCTCTTGTTGCATTACTATATCCGTTCCGAGGATATATGCTTTGGTTACCAACATCTCGAGGGCGACTCGCGCTCTCTCAAATCATCTGTACAGCGTTCTACCGGTCTCAATATTTCGACAATTCGCATATCCATCAACGACAACGACTCTGTTACGGCAATTGTAGATAAGGTGCGCGCAGACAGTGCGAATCGCCAGCTCGATGGCAGCTCGGACGTCACTTCCGAGGGATATCTCCCCTTCAACACCATCTTGATGCTGCGCACATATGACCACCCTGCTTCTTCTTCAAAACCTATTTTGGCAACAGCTCTTCCGGACGAGGTTAGTTAATCCAGTAACATGATTTTCTTTAGACAGAAACGCAATTCGCTAACAATGCGCAGTGTCAAGTCCGTCTTCATGTTAAGGTGCTGCGTGGAGACATCAGCATCTTCCTTGAATGGCACAAAGGCGACATGTCCGGGGAGCAGATGAAGAGTATTGGAAACATTTTTGAGCAGTTGCTTGCCAAAGTCCTTTCCTCCGAGAACACCGCTATTAGCCAGCTTAATTTGTTCTCGGAAAACGACTGGCAACGCATTTGCAATTGGAACTCCACCATGCCGCAGCTTCACGATCGCTGCATCCACGAGGCTATCCACGATCAAATGTTGAGCGGCCCTGATCGTGAGGCTGTGTGTGCGTGGGATGGCAGTTTGACGTTCGCCGAGTTGGACCACCAAGCATCGAAGCTTGCATGCCATCTTCGCATGCAGGGAGTCGGGCCGGAAATCCGCGTGGCTTTGTGTTTCGATAAATCGGTAAGTGGAATGTTTCATGAATGGATCAATGTTCCAGAATTCATTTCGTTGTGGGCATACTGACGGGACATGGCAGAAATGGAACATCGTGGCAATGCTTGGCGTGATGAAAGCCGGCGGCGCGTTCGTGCCATTGGACCCGACTCACCCAACTTCCCGACTGCAAGCTCTCATCCAATCGGTTCAGGCACCGGTTGTGCTGTGCTCTCAGCATCTTGCCGAAAAACTTCGTCCTATTGCGAAGACTTTAATACCCCTTTCTGCTGATACTCTAGATCCCCTGTCTGACCCCGCCGAGAATGTCAATCTGGCATCCGGTGTCACAGGTCAAAATGCGGCTTATGTTCTGTTTACCTCTGGATCAACAGGAGAACCCAAGGTTAGTCCTTTGTGAATATTTAAATATAGTTGCCTGCAGGAGTAGCTGACTTATGTCTCGCAGGGAACCCTGTTGGAGCACCGCGCGTTTTTGTCCGGCGCAATGGTGCATGGACCCGGTTTGCTCATTTATCGCGAGTCGCGATGCCTCCAATTCGCCGCTCACACATTCGATGCCAGTTTGGCGGAAGCGTTGACGCCGCTCATTCATGGCGCATGTGTGTGCATTCCGAGCGAGGAAGCTCGCCTCAACGATATTGTGACCACCATCAACGAGATGCGAGTCACCCAAGCTTGCTTCACCCCGTCATTCATCGGCTTTATTGAAATTGAGAGTGTTCCAGGACTGGAGAGTTTGGTTCTGGCCGGAGAGGCAATGTCGCAGTCCCAGCTGGCTACTTGGTCCAAAATCAAACTGGTCAATGGTTATGGACCTACCGAGGCCAGTGTGGCATCCGTGCTCAATTCCAATGTTACACCTGACACCGATTGTAAAGATATCGGCCTGCCAATTGGTGTGCGGACTTGGCTTGTGAACCCTGATAACCACGATGAACTGGTTCCCGTGGGCTGCCCTGGAGAACTACTTCTGGAGGGCCCACCCCTGGCCAGGTGCTACGTGAATAATCCACAAAAGACAAACGAATCGTTCATCTACGACCCTGCTTGGACTACATTGGACCCTGAAAGTGGCTCTAACCGTAGATTCTACAAGACAGGCGATCTTGTCAGGTACAACTCTGAATCTGGTGCCCTTAATTACATCGGTCGCAAAGATACGCAGGTCAAGGTTCACGGACAACGCATCGAGCTCGGCGAGATTGAGAATCAGCTCAGCAAAGATTTGAACGTCACTCATTGCTCTGTCTTTTTCCCCAAGACTGGTTTCTCCAAGGGACGGTTGGCCGCAGTTGTCTCTTCCACCGGATTGCTTGCGGAACAGTCTGATTCGGACTTGGAGCCTCTACGACTTGTCTCCGCCTCGAAAAAGGCTGAGCTTGTCCCGGGAATTCGAGAGCGCCTATCGGGTCGCCTCCCCACTTATATGGTCCCTGCGGTTTGGTTGTGTGTTGAAGCTCTTCCACTTCTGCCATCAGGGAAACTCGACCGCAAGGGCATTTCCACTTGGGTCGCAGGTATGGAGAATGACCCCGATCTTCAGAACAATGCCTCTGTTGCAATCGTCGGCACAGAGGCTTCACAGCCCGCCAACGACATAGAGGATGCTTTAGCTGCTGTATATAGCCGTGTCCTCAACATTCCTCAGAACCAACTTGACTTGAATCAGAGTTTCCTCGCCCTCGGCGGTGATTCGATCGCAGCTATGACATGTATCGGTCTCTGCAAGAAGCGAGGATTTTCTCTCTCCGTACAAGAGCTTCTTCGGAGCAAATCAATCCGGGACCTCGCAACTCGCGCGAAGACAATCGATCACCTGACGACTTACGAGGAGGCTGTCGATGAACCATTCAGCCTGTCGCCTATCCAGATCCTTCACTTTGGTGTACGCAAGGAGGGTCAAGGCCACTTCAACCAAGGAATCCTCACTCGTTTGAACAAACCCGTCGATGAACCAACCCTCCGAAAGGCTATCGAAACTCTGGTGTCTCGCCACTCGATGCTCCGTGCGCGATTTACTGACACAGGATTCGCAACGGCATCGAATCAACACATCACTCGCGATATCAAGGGATCTTACAGATGGCGGATGCACAATCTTGGCAGCATGGACGAGGTCAAGACTCATGTAGCTGACAGCCAGTCTTCTATCAACTGCTTCTCTGGACCGTTGCTTGCAGTCGATTATTTCTTGGTGAAGGGGCAGCCTAATGTTCTATCAATGACAGCTCACCACTTGGTTGTCGACATTGTCTCGTGGAGAATTATTCTGGAAGATTTGGAAGACATCATCCTAAACCCCGAGAAGACGGAAACCAGCGATAGCTCCTTACCTTTCCAAACCTGGTGCCGTTTGCAGAATGAGCACTGCAAGATCCTCCGGGATGAGCACAAAGTTGCAACCGACACTCTCGCTCCAACCGACTTTGGCTACTGGGGACTGAAGGACACTCAAACTACATATGGTAATGTGGATTGTGCCTCCTTCGAGATCGACCCTGCCCACACCAATGCAATTCTGCTGGAATGTAACAAAGCTCTCGGCACCGAGCCGATTGATCTCTTCCTGGCAGCAATGCTTCACTCATTTGGCCGAGCCTTCCCCGATCGTTCTCTTCCAACTATCTACAATGAGGGTCACGGACGAGAAGTCTGGGATCCATCCATTGATATCTCGCATACTGTCGGATGGTTCACCATTCTGCACCCAATCTTCGTCTCTGCCTACAATTCCGACAACCCCATTGATACCCTCATGCAGGTGAAAGATCTCCGCCGTCGTGTCTCGGATAATGGTCGCGCAGATTTCGCCAGCCGTGTTCTGCCAGCCGAGGGCAATCGAGAGTCGGAGCACCCCCACCCCTTCGAGATGTCGTTTAACTACGTCGGACAACACCGAGATCTACAGAGGACGGATGGTCTCTTCCAGCTTGTTGATCAGATGGCCGGAGAGGCTGGCCAAGGAGGCGGTGCCGCAGACTTTGGTGCTGATACTCCCCGCTTTGGTCTGTTTGAGATCTCTGCAATGGTCGTGGCCGGCAAAGTTCGATTCAACTTCTCCTTCAACAGGTTTATGCAACACCAGGACCGTATTCACCGATGGGTTTCCGAATGCCAGAAGCTGCTTATAAGTCTCTCCGAGCAGCTTCCCACCCTCGAGCCACGATTGACTCTCAGCTCGTTCCCCATGTTGTCGTTGAGCTATCCTACTCTGGACAAATTGCTCAATGAGAAGTTGCCTGCTCTGGGTATCGAGTCCCCGGATCTTGTTGAAGATATCTACCCTTGTTCTCGCATGCAGCAGGGTATCCTCCTTGGTCGCAAGCGAGATAGCTCCTACTACGCTGTCCACGACACCTTTGAAATTCGGGCCACCGGATCTAGCGAGCCAAATCTCGATCGCTTGATCAATGCATGGCAGCAGGTCGTTTCTCATCATGCGATGTTCCGCACCATCTTCGTTGAGAACCTCACTCCTCGGGACCCCTTCTGCCAAGTCGTATTGAAGAGCTATGATGTTACTCCTATCTTTTTGCAGTCTTCAGGGGAAGATGATGTGATTGCCACCTTTGACAAGGAGGATCCCAAGGATTACAGCGAGCCCGAACCAGCGTATCGCTTCACTATTTGCCAGACACCCGCTGGAAGGTTGTTTGCTCGCCTTGAGATTAGCCATGCTGCGATGGACGGTAATTCTATCTCAATCATCCTCCGTCACCTGCAGCTCGCATACGCTGGCAGACTCGAGGAAAGCCCTCAGCCTTTGTTCAAGGACTATATTCAGTACCTCCAGGATGCACCAAAGGAAGCTAGCATCAACTACTGGCGCTCGTACTTGGACCAGGCCAAGCCGTGCCACTTCCCTGCCCTCACTGACGGCCAACAATCGCCAAAGGCACTTCGGTCCATTCCAGTCAACTTCGGCGCGCTCAGTGAGCTCCAAACTGTTTGTGAGACGCGCGGAATCACTCTCGCAAATGTCTTCAATGCCGCGTGGGGCCTCACTCTCCGCGCCTTCTGTGGATCCGACGATGTCTCCTTCAGCTACATGGCATCTCTGCGTGATGTCTCTGCTGAGGGCATCCAGTGGGTCATTGGACCAGTTATCAACCTTCTAGTTTGCCGCATGGAGGTTCCTGATAACGCGAAGCTCAGTGATGTACTGCATCAAATACAGAACGACTATATGGAAAGTCTTCCTTACCGACACACTTCGCTCATTGATATCCAACATGCTTTGAAGCTGTCCGACACGAATTTGTTTAATTCCGGCGTCTCCTACCGCCGGCTTCCTAGTTCCAAGGATGCTGTCAGCAGTGACATTGAGTGTGTTGAGGTTGGCTCAATCCATGATCCCGCCGAGTTCCCGGTTTTCATCAACATCGAGGCCATGGATACCACTGCTCGAATTGACCTCAACTACTGGACCACGAACCTGTCTGATTCACAGGCTGCCAATGTGGCCAATACCTATCTTCGTTGCCTTGAGAACGTCGTGTCGAACATTGACGGTGAAATCCGCCAGCTAGACAGCTTGAGCGACGACAACCGCACCCAGATCATGGCGTGGAACAGCAAGACTCCCAAGCCTTTTGAGAAGTGCGCTCATCAGGTTGTGCAAGAGATGGCGAAGAAGCTCCCCGATGCGTTGGCTGTCACCGCTTGGGATGGCAACTTGACTTACTCGAAGTTGGATCAATTCTCCTCTCGTTTGGCAACCTACCTTACCACATTCGGTGTTGGTCCTGGCACCCTGATCCCTATCTGCTTCGAGAAGTCTGTGTGGAACATAGTCTCCACACTGGCAATCATGAAAGCCGGTGGTGGCTGTATTCCAGTTGATACACCCCAGAGTTTGGCTCTTGTTGAGAATTGGATTGTCGACAACGCTGTGCAAGTCGCTCTGGCTTCCCCGGAGAAGGCCCAGGTTCTCGAGGATGCTGTGCCGTACGTCATCCCTGTAAGCGAGTCTCTCCTCGAGTACCTCGCCGACGAGGTTCTCAACCCCGTGGCACAATCATCCGACATCGCGTACGTCGCTATGACTGCTGGAACCGCTGGCTCGGCCAAGAGTGTCGTCCTTGACCATTCAACTGTCATGACTCGAGCCGAGGCATTCGCTACCACCATGGCAATTGCCGATGTCTCCAGGACCCTGCAGTTTGCACCTCACACATCTGATGGATTTATTGTCGAGGCATTTGGCACTTTCATGTGGGGTGGTTGCCTTTGCATCCCGGCTGATATTGACCCCGCCAACTTGGCCACCTCTATCAATGCCCTCCACGTTAATGTTGCTAGCATCACCCCAACAGCCGCAAGCTTTTTCTCCCCCAAGGATGTTCCGGGACTGCGATCGATTGCCCTGGGCGGCGAAGTCGTTTCTCAGAGTGTCCTCGACCACTGGCAGACTGACGATCTCCAACTGCAGGTTTTGTATGGAACATGCGAGAGCTCGGCTGCCTCCTTCCACGTGTTCTGTTCCCAGGACGACAACGAGGCTAACCTCATTGGAAAGAGCACCTCTTGTGTTTCGTGGGTGGTTGATTCCTCGAACCACAATTGCCTTGTTCCGATCGGCAGTGTTGGAGAATTGGTACTTGAGGGGCCTGTTGTTGCTCGGGGATACCTTGACGACCAGTCTGTAGAGAGCTGTGACTTCTTCAACGACGCTTCCTGGCTTTGTGGACAACGAGAAGGCGATAAACATCGCTTATTCAAGACCGGAGATCTTGTTCGGTACAAGTCTGATGGCTCCCTTGTTTTCCTCGGCCGAAAGAACGATAAGAATGGATCCGCCTTGGCTAGCGAGCTAATTCAGCCTCAGGCGCGCATTGATTCCTTCCTAGGCAACAAGAGGAAGTGCGTTGTGGAGAGCGTTCCGCTGCAACGTGACAACGTGAAGACCAATGCCCTCGTCGCTTTTGTGGTTTCTTCGGACACCACAACAGTCACTTTTGGGGATCGCGTCCTCCAGTCCACGACACCTGAGCTGAAAGAGGCCGTATATAGCCTGCACGCCAATCTGAGCACCAGTCTTCCTGGTAGTAAGGTTCCGAGTTTTTACATCCCTATATCCTCCCTCCCCTTGACTGTTTCTGGAAAGCTAAACCGCCAGGCCCTCAAAACCGAAACTCAGGCGCTTTCGATCAATGCTCTCGAGGCTTTCGACATCAAGCGTTGGAACGGATCCAAGGCTGGTAATCGGGATTCACGACATGCAAGTCTTTCCGGGGCCAACATCGCTTTCTGGAAGGAGTATCTCGCCGATGTTGAGCCCTGCGTTTTCCCGCCCCTTTCCCATGCGGCAAGCGACAATGGCCGCTCCACCCGCACGCTCAACAAACAGACAGCCAACATCCATGCCTTTAGCAGATTGTTTGGCATTCCTGTGGAAACTCTTTTCCAGTTTGCCTGGGCCGTTGTGCTCCGTTGGTACACCGGCTCAGACGATGTGTGCTTTGGGTATTCTGCCTCAGCTTTGGACACGAAACTGGCGGATGAGGGAGTTGCCACCTGTCGCTTCCTCGTGCAGAATGAGCAAAAGCTGCAAGAGACTCTTCAAAAAGCAAAGACAGACTCCGAGAACAGTGCATTAAACGTCGCTGTGTTAGACGCCGTCAAACACCAGCTTGGACTCGATGATACAACGCTCTTCAATACCTCCCTTTCCTATCGCATAGCTTCCAATCTTCCCAAAGGAAGTACCCGTGAGCCAAGCACATCCACTGCTTACAAAATCCTGGTTGAAGCTGAAGTCTCGCATTCGTACGCCGAGATCCACTTCAATTACTCCTCAGAAACCCTTTCCTCCTTCCAGGTCAACCATGTCATGGACATGTTTGACCAAGTCTTGGATGATTTGATCGCTCACAACCTCCGTGACCGCACGATCGGAGATATCAATGTATTCACTGAGCGCTCAGTTCGCCAGATCCGCGATTGGAATGCCGCATCCCCTCCTAGGGTGGAGAAGTGCGCCGACGAGCTCATTCAGCAACAGGCACTGCTTCACCCTCGCGCGGAAGCCATTTGCTCTTGGGACAAGAATTTCACTTATGGGCAGCTTGAAATTGTTTCCAGTCGCTTGGCTCGCCATCTCTCCAGTCTTGGGGTTAAGCCCGAAGCCTTCGTGGTGTTGTGCTTCGAAAAGTCCGCTTGGGCTGTAGTTGCCCAGCTGGCTGTTCTCAAGGCGGGTGGAGCTTTCGTCTCGATTGACCCATCCCACCCCGATTCTCGACTGAAGATGCTCATTGACGAAATTGGTACTAACCTTGTCTTGTGCTCATCTTCTGTCCACACCAAAGTTTCGAAGCTCTGCGCGAAATCGTTTGCCGTCTGCCAGACTTCAATCTCCCAACTTCCCGACTCGCCTTTGGCTTTGCCTGGTGCTCGCCCTACCCCTAACAGTGCTGCATATGCTATCTTTACCTCTGGTACAACTGGAAAGCCGAAGGCGACTGTTGTCGAGCATACTGCCCTTAGCACCACCGCGATCGCGATGATCGATACGCTGCACATGACCCCTACAACACGAGCTTTGCAATTCTCTAACTACACGTTTGACGTCAGCGTTCTGGAGATCATGATGGTTCTCATGACTGGTGGTTGTGTCTGTATTCCCAGTGAGGAGGAACGCATGAACAACTTGGGTGGTGCCATCCGTCGTATGGAAGCCACCTTCATCACGGCACCTCCCGCCATTGTCAATACCCTAGAGCCGAAGAACGTTCCCACGTTGAAGGTCATCATCACGGGTGGTGAGAAGATGCCCGCTAACCATATCGACCGCTGGGGAGACCGGTGCGTCATCAATGCCTATGGTCCCTCCGAAGCCACTGTCGTTGCCACAGCTGGTATCAAGGTTGATTGGAATGGCAAGCGTGTCAACGATGATCCCACATCTATTGGAAAGGCTTCAAACTGCAGAGTCTGGATCGTGGATCCGAACAATTCCAACCGACTTCTCCCCGTTGGTGCTGTTGGCGAGTTGATCCTCGAAGGAAGCAACATTGCCCGTGGATACCTTGCGAACGAGGAGAAGACAAAGGCCTCTTTCTTCGTGAATCCTGTTTGGAACCGTCACTCCGGCTTCCAGGGTGTGTTCAAGCGAAATGATCGCATGTACCGGACTGGTGATCTTGTTCGCTACAACAGCGATGGCAGTCTAGCCTTCATCTCCCGCAAAGACACTCAGATCAAGTTCAATGGCCAGCGCATCGAACTCGAGGAGATCGAACAGCAATGTCTTCGCTGCCTACCCGAGGACTCTCAGGTCGCTGTTGATGTTGTTGTTCCCGAGGAACGCACCATCGCAAAGGGGCTCGCCGCGTTCTTCACCGTGCATGATCCGAACTCCAACGGCGGCAGCAGCGATCAATTTGCCCCCACGGTTTCTGGAGCCGATCCCCTGCTACTGCCTATCTCTGTGTCTAACATGGATGCCATTCAGAAGTTGAAGGGCTCTCTGCCCGAGCTTCTGCCTCAGAGCATGATGCCCCGACTCTTCTTCCCTATCCGCAACTTGCCCTTCACCTCCTCCGGGAAGATTGACCGCCGAAGACTGCGGGCCATGGTGCAGACCTTGTCCAAGGATACTTTGAAGTCTTACATTACCTTCAACACCTCTGACAGAAGGGAGGCTTCCTCGGCCACCGGCCTAGAGATCAAGCTTGTGGCCCTTGTGGAAAAGACCCTCGAGCTTGAAGCCGGGTCTGTCACCGCCGATGACAGCTTTTTCGGTCTGGGTGGTGATTCCTTGTCCGCCATGAACCTGGTCGGTGCTGCTCAAGCAGAGGGTATCGCACTTACCGTCTCGAGCATCTTCAACTCCCCAATCTTGATCGACATGGCCAAGACCTGCGTCGTGTCTAATGGAGCCGCTGAGGTTAAGAAAGAGAACGTCATGGCGTTCTCATTGCTGCCCTCTGGAGTCTACCTCGAGAACTTGATGGATGAAGTGACTGATAACTGCGAAGTGTCCAAGGACCTCATTAGCGATATTTATCCATGCAGTGCCGTACAGGAGGGCCTTTTGACGCTATCTATCAAGCAACACGGTGCTTATGTTGCGCAGCCCTCGTTCCGTCTTGCTGCTGGCATTGATGTTGCTAAATTCAAACAAGCCTGGCAACAAACCGTGGCAGACTTGGAAATCCTTCGCACTCGCATTGTCCATACCGAAGCCATGAACTTCGCTCAAGTTGTCCTTAAGGACGGCCCTATCTCCTGGGTCGAAGCAGAGTCGTTCGACGACCTCCCCAACGACATCCTTCACCTACCAAAGCACAATGGAGCATCTCTGACCGGTTACGCCATGGTGCACCCTCGTGGCTCCTCTGATAGTTACTTTGTGTGGTCTGTTCATCATGCCCTTTATGACGGCTGGAGTATTCCTTTGGTATTCCGCAAGGTTGAGGAGAACTACTTTGCCTCGCAGAACAAACGCGCTGGCACTCCTTACAGTCTTTTCATTGAATACCTGGTGAAAAAGGATATGGAAGAGTCTGACAAATTCTGGAAGTCTTATTTGAGCGAGCTTTCGAGCAGTCCTTTCCCTCATAACAAGAGTGCAGTGCCTGATGCAATGCGTGCTGGCAACACTCAGCACCACAGCATCAAGGTTTCCCGCACTCGCAATAGCGTCGACTTCACGATCCCTGTGCTCCTCCGCGCTGCATGGGCAATCGTCGTTGCTACCCACACGGCGTCTGGTGATGTCTGCTTCGGCGAGACTTTGTCGGGCAGAAATATCGATCTTCCCGGTGTTGCGGACATTGCTGGTCCTGTCCTGACCACCGTCCCCACTCGTGTCCAGGTTGACAATGCCATGTTGACTATGCAATACTTGCAGAAGATCCACCAGTCTACTACCGAGATGATTCCGCACTTACACTCTGGTCTTCAACGTGTCCGCCAGCTCAGCAAGGACACTGCCACGGGCTGCGATTTCAAGAACCTGCTTGTAATCCAACCAGGTGATGGTGAGCTCGATAATAAGATGTGGATCGACGAGAAACGTGAAACAAGCGAAGATTTCTTCACTCACCCTCTTGTCGTGGAATGTGGTATCACCAAGACAAACATTTCATTCACTGTTCATCACGATGAGCTTGTCATTAACGGATGGCAGACCAAGCGTATCACTGAACAATTTGCGCATGTTCTCCAGCAATTGATTGCCTTGCCCAAGAACGGCACGAGCAAGCTCGGAGACTTGGAGGTCATCAGCCCTGAAGACAAGGTTGAAATCGGTACGTGGAACCAACGTGTCCCGCTCACAGTGGAACGGACCGTCCAAGATTTCATTCGTGAGAAGGCCGACGAGACCCCAAACGCCCAGGCTGTGTGTGCCTGGGATGGCGACCTCACCTACAGAGAATTCTGGGATCTCGCATCTGGCTTTGCCAACTACCTGGTCTCTCGCGGAGTTGGCCCAGAGGTATTTGTTCCAGTCTGCCTGGACAAGTCGGCTTGGGCAATGGTCACGCTCATCAGTATTCTCATTGCTGGTGGTGGGTACGTGCCTTTGGATCCCTCCCATCCTACCTCGCGACATGAGGAAATCCTCGCAGACGTTGGTGCCAACATGATACTGTGCACTCCCAACTATACAAACCGCTACAGCCGAGTGATGAAGACTGTTATCCCCATCAGCAAGGAGACCATCAAGGCCTACGGTGCCCTCAAGTCTTCTGCCCGTCGCCGCGCTGAAGTCAAACCCTCCAATATGGCTTACGCTCTATTTACCTCTGGCAGCACCGGTCGCGCCAAGGGAATCATTGTCGAGCACCGCAACGTGGTCAGCAGTATCATGGCATTCGCGCCGTGGGTTCGCATGGATGAGACCTCCAGAGTATTCCAATTCGCCTCTCTCACTTTCGATGCTGCTGTCATGGAGACTCTTGCAATTCTTATGCTCGGAGGTACCATCTGTGTGCCCAGCGAGGAGGACCGTCTCAACGATGTTGCCGGCGCAATCCGTCGACTCAATGTCACTTGGACTTTCCTCACCCCCTCAATTGCCAGTATAATCGAGCCATCCTCAGTGCCTTCCCTTAAGCACCTCGTTTGTGGTGGTGAGAAGATGTCCAATGAAGTTATCACCAAGTGGGCCAACTCTGTTCACCTCATGAACGGGTACGGACCGACCGAGACGTGTGTCTTTGCTGTGGTCGATAATGCCGTGGCCACCAATCGTGATCCCGGGCGTATCGGTTACGGTATTCCCAGCACTCTTACCTGGATTGTTGATCCCGACAACCACGATCGGCTGACTCCCCTGGGCGCAGTCGGTGAACTTGCACTCGAAGGCACTCCTTTGGCTAGGGAGTACCTCAAAAATCCCGAGAAAAACGCAGAAGCATTCACCACTGACCCAGCCTGGATCAAGGACTTCACGCCCACAGTCCCGGGTCCTCGCCGAATCTACAAGACTGGCGATCTTTGCTACTACAACCCTGATGGTTCTATTCAGTACATCAGCCGGAAGGATCACCAAGTCAAGTTGCACGGCCAACGGATGGAGCTGGGTGAGATTGAACATCGCCTTTCTGAGGATGCTCTTACTCGGCATGCTGTCGTCGTTCTCGCCAAGAATGGCCCTCTCAAGCAGCGCCTGGTCACTGTCATGTCGTTGAACAGTGTTGCAGCCGATACTTCGCTAATCTCCGACAAGCCTTGCGAGCTTGTTGATGAGGATGAGCTTGAGCGTCATGCCTACAACGAGCTGGTCGAAGTGCAGAAGAATCTTGAGAACCAGCTCCCCATTTACATGGTTCCCCAGACGTGGGCTCTCGTCAAGAAGCTTCCCATGCTCGTTTCTGGAAAGCTCGACCGGAAGAAGATCACCGCTTGGATTGAGGACATTGATGATGCCTCCTACGAGCGTATTATGGCCGATTACGATCGTATCAAGCGTGGCAAGACCGAAGAGAAGCCGCAAGAAAAGGAAGAGAAGAATGAATCCCTCAACATCGTCCGCGAAATATTCGCGCAGGTTCTGAATATCTCCACACAGAAGGTCAATGTCGATCGCTCTTTCGTCAGCTTGGGTAAGTATCCCATCCTCTCGAAACAGTCAACATACTAACCGGTCCTCACAGGCGGTGACAGCATTACTGGAATGGCTGTCATTTCCCGCGCTCGCAAGCAGGGACTTGTTCTCACACTCCACGACATTTTGCAGAGCAGATCTGTGAAGGAACTTGCCCAAACCGCCAGTTCTAAGGCACCTGTTTCTCGGCGTGAAGAGAAGTCTGGTGAAGGATTTGCGCTTTCGCCCGTCCAGAGACTCTACTTCCAGTGCTCAGACTCTTTCAAGGGAGCCGCTCGTTTCAACCAGAGCATCACTGTTCGCATCACTCGCCGTTGTGAGGGCGAGGTGCTCAAGCGCGCTATTAAGGCTGTTATCGGCCAGCATGCCATGTTCCGCGCACGCTTCAGCACATCTAGCGACGGCACCTGGCAACAGAAAACTGCAGCGGTAAGCTCAATACAAAATCATCGTCCAACATGTTCTAACTCAACCTCACAGGAGGTCGATGAATCTTTCCGATTCCGCGTTCACTCTGTGGGCGATACCCGAGCGATGGTTCCGAAGATTGCTGACAGTCAAAATTGCCTGGATCCTCTCAATGGGCCTATCCTGGCAGCCGACCTGTTTAACCTTCGCGCCGGTGGCCAGGTGTTATTCCTCGTCGCTCACCATCTCTGCATTGATATGGTCTCATGGCGCATCGTCCTCCAGGATCTCGAAGAGCTCGTTGTCTCTGGATCTCTTTCACTCGAGAAGGCATTGTCTTTCCAAAGCTGGTGTGCCATGCAGACGGAGAGAGCCAAGACGCACGATGCGTCTATTGCTCTGCCTTTCACCCCCGAGAAGCCCAACTTGCTTTACTGGGGCATGCAAGACTTACCCAATGTTTATGGAGATATCAAGATGGAATCCTTCACGTTGAGTGAGGATACCACCCAATTTATCCTTGACGGCTGCCACGGTGTCTTCCGCACGGACACTGTTGACATCTTGCTGTCTGCCATCATTCATTCCTTCGGTCGCACTTTCACCGATCGCAAGGTGCCGACTATCTACAATGAAGGACATGGGAGAGAACCCTGGGAAGCCGACATTGATCTTTCGCGAACAGTTGGCTGGTTTACCACGATGGCGCCTTTGCAAGTGCATTCAGAAGCTCGTAAGTTTACCATACCTGATCTTGCCAACAAAAAGCTGACACTAGAAGGTGCCCTCAATGACATTATCAAGCGTGTCAAAGACACCAGGCGCAAGATCGCAGACAACGGCCGTCCTTACTTCGCGAAAAGTCTTCTACAGGGCCAGGGTACTGATTTCCCTGTCCCATTGGAAATCCTTTTCAACTACCTGGGTAAAATGCAGCAACTTGAGCGAGCCGATTCCTTATTCCATCACCACGGTACTGTCTTCGACAGCTCAGACTTTGCCATCGCAGGTGATATGGGCCCTCAGACTGCTCGGTTTGCACTCTTCGAAGTATCTGCTATTGTGATCAAAGACCGCCTCAATGTTGCTTTCACCTACAACCACAAAATGCAGCATGAGGGCTCAATCCGCCGCTGGATTGTCCAGTGCAAGCAGACCCTCGAGAAGGATATCCTCACACTGAAAACGGCTACCCCCGAGCCTACTCTCAGCGACTACCCCCTCCTCCCCATCAACTATCACGGCCTCCAGATGCTCACAGCCAGCACCTTCCGCAAGGCCGGCATTCGGAACAAGGATCAGGTCGAGGACATATATCCCTGCTCTGCCATGCAGGAGGGCCTCTTGCTCAGTCAGCTCCGCGATCCCAACGCCTACATGTTCCATACTGTGTTTGAGATCAAAGATGCCAAATCTGGCAAGGTCGATGCCGAAGGAGTCGCTCGCGCCTGGCAAACCCTCGTCGACCGTCATCCTGTGCTGCGAACAATTTTCGTTGACAGCAACTACACTGGTGGATCTTTCGATCAACTGGTGCTCAAGAACCTTTCCGATAATATCCTCCGCGTGGAATGTCATGACTCGCAGGTAGAGGAGAAGTTGGCTGCTATCTCTCTTCATGCCAGAAACGCAATGCGCCAATCGAAGCTTTCTCACCAAATGACTGTTTGCAAAACAAACACCGGACGTGTGATCCTCAAGCTGGAGATCAACCATGCCATTATCGATGGTGGATCGGTGGATGTACTCCTCCGTGACATGACTCTTGCCTACGAGCGAAAGATTGCTGAGGGTTCAGGACCTCGCTTCAGCGACTACATCAAGTTCATCAGAACCCAGAGCCAGAGTGATGCACTTAGTCACTGGAAACAATACCTTGGTGGAGTTCACCCATGCCACCTCGCGCCGTCGGCTGTGTTCGAAGCCAAGAGAGAACTCAAGGGTGTCATGATGAACTTCGAGCGATTCCCTGAGCTGCTCAAGTTCTGCGAGCGCAGCTCTGTCACACTTGCCAACTTGACTCTGTCAGCCTGGGCGCTCGTCCTGCGACAGTTCACTGGCTCAGATGACGTGTGTTTCGGATACCTTTCTGCCGGTCGGGATGCCCCTGTCAATGGCATCCAGGACATGGTTGGAATCTTTATTAATATGCTCTGCTGTCGAGTTCAGTTCTCCGACCAACAAACTCTTATGGATGTATCCAAGAATGTTCAGGATGATTATATCCGTTGCATTCCCCACCAAAGCTGCTCTCTGGCCAGCATCCAACATGAGCTTGGTTGGCAAGGACAGTCGCTCTTCAATACTACCTTGTCAATCCAGAATCACTCCGTTGCGGGTCCTAAGGAGAAGGGATTGACCTTCGATCTTCAGCATGCACATGATCCGAGCGAAGTGAGTATAAGCCCTATCAATGCTTTGTTCAACTACTAACTGAATACAGTATGCGGTCACCGTGAATGTTGAGATTGCCCGAGGCCAGGAGGGCATTCTATTGAGATACTGGAACGATATTGTGTCTGACGAGGAGGCCCAGGCTCTGGCTGACACCGTCGCCAGGGTGTTCACTAGCTTCATTGAATCCCCCGCTGCGACTCTGTCGCAGTCCACATTCGCTTCCGAGGCTGAGCCCGAGTCACTGGATTGGGATCACTCCCAGACCACTCTGGCTGACAAGGCAAAGTCAACCGGAGATGCGATTGACAGCAGTGCTATTCAGAAAATTATTGATGATCGTGTTCATGAGATTATTAGTCGGATGTTGAGAGAAGGAAAACTGACGGTGCCTCCCATTCACTCGGAAGAGTTGTCAAGCTATGGTGGTCACCCTGATCCTATAGCCGACTCGCCGTACCAGTTAGGTATACAAGGAGCAGATGATTCGGGTATTTGTTCGGTGGCTTCCCGTTCCAGTGAGGATGGGATTTTGGCCGAGGTGGAAAGGAAATTGTGGAATCTTTGGAGCACAGCTCTTGGTCTTTCGCCCAACGTGGTGAGACACCAGGACAGCTTCTTCAAGTTGGGGGGTGACAGCATCACCGCCATGAAGATGGTCAGTGCCGCTCGTGAAGAGGGCCTGGTCCTTACTGTTGCAGATGTCTTCAACAATCCTGTCTTCGAGGACATGCTAGCAACAGTGCGAGCTGCGAATGTTACTCAGCAAATGCTGAATGCCGATCTCAAGTCTGGCGGCCCCAGGGAGGCTGATAGTGATTTACTCAATATCACGCCAACGACACTGGGGCTCAGCCCCTCTACCGAGAGCCTAGAGATTCTCAGGCCGTCCTGCATCGACGATGCCGCTGTGCAGAGCGGTATATGTCCCAAGATTGGTGTTTTCAAGGGTGGCATCGCGGACGTACTTCCTGTCACCGACTTCCAGGCGATGTCTCTAACGGCGACTCTCTTCAAGTCCCGATGGATGCTTAACTACTTCTATTTGGAAGGCAATGGTCCCCTGGACCTGAGACGCCTCCGCGAGAGTTGCTTGAAGGTTGTCGCGGCCTTTGATATCCTGCGCACAGTCTTCGTGTGCTTCCATGACCAATTCTTCCAGGTCGTGCTGCGCAAGATCCGTCCCAGCATCTTTGTTTACGAGACCGACCGCGCTCTTGATGAATTCACCATGACCCTCCAACAGAGAGATCGCGAATACGGACCGCGCGAAGGCGAGCAGTACGTGCAGTTCTACGTTGTCAAGAAGAAGGGCAGCGACCAACATCGTATCTTGGTCCGCCTCTCTCACACTCAATACGATGGAGTATGCTTGCCGAAGATCATGGCTGCCATTAAGCACGGATATGAAGGCACGCCGCTGCCTCCGGTGACTCCCTTTGCTGGTTACTTGCGACTGTTGCCAGGAACAATCACCCCAGACCATTATCGCCACTGGTCCGATCTTCTCAAGGGCTCTCAAATGACCCAGGTCGTCCGCAGAAAGGGCACCAGTATGTTCCAGAACGTTGGGGCATTCACCGAGATTCACAGAAAGATTGAGATTTCGCCCATCGCTCTTGGAAATGTCACCATCGCAACCGTCATGCAAGCTGCCTGGGCCCTGACTCTTGCTAAGCTGACTGCTCAGTCCGATGTTGTTTTTGGTCTGACTATCAGCGGTCGCAACGCTACAGTGCCCGGCATTGAGAGCACTGTTGGCCCTTGTGTCAATGTCATCCCGGTGCGCGTGAAGCTCGACGAGAAATGGACCGCTGTCGATATCTTCCGCTACCTTCAGGACCAGCAAGTCTCCAACATGCCTTTCGAGTCTCTAGGCTTCCGCGAGATCATCAAGCAATGTACCGACTGGCCTGACTGGACCTACTTCACTACCTCAGTCTTCCACCAGAACGTCGACTACGAAGGAACCATGGAGCTTGACAACAACAAGTACCGTATGGGTGGTGTCGGCGTCAATGACAACCTAGCTGATCTCACCATGGTGTCACGCCCCTCCGGTGAACGAGGCTTGGATGTCACCCTGGGCTACTCCGAAAAGGGACCTGTGATGCCATCATTCGCATCCAAGGTTCTCGACATGGCCTGTGAGATTGCGCAATCCCTCGTCGCCAACCCCACAGCCTCGCTGCCCTCCGCGAGCATGCTGCGCTCTCTACCACCGCAGACAATCGACGACCTGTCCCGAGCCTCAGACGAGCACTTCCTCAGCGCACACCTCAAGTCGCGCTCCATCGCAGAGCTGCTTGTGCATTCGGACATTCTGTCTCGCTCGTGGCACCAGGTCCTGCCCAGCCGCACCACCGTGGCTTCCGACCCAGACGCTGATGACAAGCTAACCCAGCAATCCGCCTTCCAGCTGGATTCGTCATTCTTTGATCTGGGCGGTGACGTCTTCAACCTGGCTCAGCTTACCTGGCTTCTTGAGCAAGATGGTCTCAAGGTCCGTCTAGAGGACCTTATTGAGCACCCCTCTTTCTTGGGCCAAATGGCCGTACTGGCTTTGCACAACGCCAAGCACCAGGATGATATCCCAGCAGAGCTTCTTGCTACCGGTGCTGCATTGCCTGATCCTGTCGCTCGCATCGAAAAGAAGAAGACATGGTCGAAGGCGATGACCATAGCGCGGAAGCTGACCGGACGAAACACCGTCAGTACTCGAGCTTGATATCAGCTGATCGAGCTGGAATCCGCGGAGAAAAACAAAAAAAAGCAAAAACAGGTGTTGATCACAAAAAAAAAAAAAAAAGGAAACACCGAAAATCCTTTCCTTTGCTATTTCTTTCTCTCAGTGTTTATGTTGCATGTTTTATATTCTGGTTGTCTTCGCCATATTCTTATGGCTTTGGCTTTTTGTCTTCTGGATTGGGTACATATGGGCGACGGATCGGACCACTACGACAAAACTAATTTTCTGCCGAGCAGAAAATTAGTCAGCTAGCCATACGCTATTCCACAGCTGTAATGAGTATACAGCAATTTATATTTTCTCTAATTACTCACTTTCCAACGGTCGCATTAAGTTCAAATTCGAAGGTCTAATTAATTAAAATGCCCCTCTCTAAAAGAGTTATAAATTTCAAACTAATTACGACTATTAGAAGCTGACAAGTAAGTATACCTGAGTAAGTAAGTATAGAGTAAGTAAGTGAGTGTTTCGGGAGGAAAATGTCTTCCTGGACCGCCTTCCTATTAAATATACTGCCGACTAGGAGTTTTAAATCGGTAGAGGTAGCAGAATTCTAAAAGGCGGTGAATTCTGGTATAGGGCATTAAGACAGAGGAATAGAACCTTATAGCATCGATGACTAAGCAATTTTATGAATACTTCTAGGTCATATGACCTCCCCGTATACCACTATCTTCTCCTCCTTACGCAAATTGATATTTTCTAAAGTACACGTATTCTTTATATAGTACACTCTCCTCTCTCAAATATGGTACTGCCATTATAGAGAGAGGTAATCTACTCTTTAAAAGGTTCAAGGTTAATTGATAGACGTATACTAGAGGTAAATGTAAAGAGGTTGCAATATTACATACAGGCCCAAGACCATAATCATATAGGCGGTGATTAGAGCGGTGAGCCAAAAATTAGTTTTGTCGTAGTGGTCCGATCCGTCGCCCATAGGTACATACGGCATTCAATCGCCTTTACTCACTATATTCTCTCTTTACATTTTTCTTCCTGATCAATCTGTTATTTTTGTGCTTGCTGCTTCTTTGTTATACTCTAATACGCGGAAAATTGTCTATTGAAAATCGTCCCTGTAGAAAAAGTAGTGATGTAGAACTTTTAGACCACATCCTGGTATAATAGGCTTGTAGGGGTCAATCTGAGATGGGTGGAACTCTGAGGCGCTGGAGGGTATCAAATATCAAAAGCAAGGCATGCGCGTGTGTATCCAACCAGGCTGCGATCAAATGTGCGCATAACCCAGCTAATAGAAAAACATGTACAATGATTTCGCAAAAAAATTAAACCGAATCTCGCGACCATATCCCGCGCGCTCGGATCCGCTTCCCGTACCTGTAGAACAGATACGGAATAGGGATGAGGGCAACGGAAATGAAGCCCAGCACGCTAGCAGCCCAAGGAACACCAAGATTATGGAACATAGCGCGCGTAAAGAGCGGGAAACAGCCCGCGAACATAGAGCGCAGGAAAGTGTTTGCAGCGATCGCGCTGGCGGAGTATTTCTGGAATGTATCAATGAGGTAGTTGAGAGCGGCCTGGAAGATGGTGAAAAAGCCGAAGCCCATCATGACCGCACCGATGTTCGGGCAGATCCAGTGGAAGTGTTTTGCGCTTGTCCAACCGAAGACGAACATACCGCCGGCGAAGAGCACAGAGCCGAGCATCATGGGCGGGAGACGAGCTTCGGGGACGGGGCGGTTGTTGTTCGCTTTGAAGCGCTTGATGTAGAATTTCTGGTTGGCGAGGTTGATGCATCCGCCCATCATAATGCCGACTAGGTAGGCGAGGAAGGGCAGGGCGCCGACGACTTGGTTCCAGCCGCGGATTTCCTGGAAGACGATTGGGAAGGCTGCGAGGCTGAGATAGAGGATGCCGTAGACGAATGATGCGTAGAGGGCGACGAGGAAGCAGATTGGGGTTGCGAGGAGCTGGAAGGGCCGGACCAAATACTTGTTGCATATTTCTTTGAGGGTCACGTCCCATTCTTCGTGGCGTGCATGGAGGGCCCAGTTGCCCGTTTCGAAGCGTAGTCGTTGTGCCTTGTAGACTAATAGAACGGGTGGGTAGCTCTCGTCGACGAAGAGGAGGTCCATGGTCAGGAAGAATAACATCATGATACCAGTGATCTAGTAGATATTAGCGTATGGTTTCAACTTCAACGGAGCGTGGAAGACACACATATTCAGTCCAGCGCCATCCCAGATTGCTCTGGACGATGGCACCACCCGCGATAGGCCCAATAACAGGCCCGCCGACCACGGCCATGGCATAGCCGACAATAGCAGCTCCACGCTGCTCGGGGCTCCAGATATCACTCAGGACACCGCCGGTGTTGGTAACAGGGGCCGAACCGAAGAACCCCGTGAAGAATCTAGTGATCATAATAGTCTGCACATCTTTGGCGGTGGCTGTCGCGAAGGAAAAGATGGCCGCGAGAAAGTATGGCGGTAAAACTGCCGTTTTGCGCCCATATAGCTCAGACAGAGGTGCCCAGATCAGCGGGCCCAATCCCAAGCCGAACAAAAGTAATGAGGTGCCGAGTGTAGCGACCTCATTTGAGATGCCGAATTCCTCGCTAATTTGTCCCTGGCCGGTTGAGTAGCTGATATTGTTAGTTTAATAATGTATAAACCGTGAAGACGAAAAGAAAATGGACATACATTGAACTCGCCCAAGTCGCACCTGAAATTGATAACGGCGATTAGCGTCATTCCCCACAATTCATCATTTCCCCGACATACCCATAGTAGTTAATCCATACAGCACCGTCGTGATAGCCTTCTTCCTGAAATCCCAGTTCAATGGTCTGTAAGGATCATCCGGTCCTTCGAAATCCACGATGACATCAGGACCTGTCTTGGTATGGCTGAGTGGATGAGTGAATTTCGCCGTCTGACCGGCCTCGAGACTCCGAATGCGCGAGACTATCGACTGTCCGCGCTGTTGTTCAAAGGCTGAATAACCCGATGCCGCAGTACTTTGCTTTTCCAGTGCTCCGATTCCATCTGCCTCGTCGCCGCGATGCGGTTCGATATCGTCGCTAGATTCGCTGGTGCGACAGTCATGTTCTGTCCGTTCGACCATTATCACGGATCATTGGCCGAAGTGTCGCAGGACCAGCGCTAGAGCTAAGAGAGGGAGAATGTGCGAAACAAGATATATGAAGACTTGGAAAAGTCCGTAGAAAAGTCGGAGGGAAATAAATCTCGGAGATAATAAGTGGATATGACGGAGTTGCCAAGCGGAGAAATGACAACGGTAAGGCTGAGAGATATCGGACATCTCAGAGCGTTTTATTCGTTTTCTTCAAGACTCTGGGGACTTTTGGTCGGACCTCCGATGGCAGAAGCCGTGTTATCCGAGAGCTCGTTCGGAATCTGTCAGGTTCCCAATCTCCAATTCTAACGGGAAGTTTTTTGAGGAGAGTTCAACGGCTTTCATGAAATCTCGGCATCACCATCGAAGCACCGAGACTTATCATTTGCGGACGGGGAAATGAGAGACTCGGCGTCGGTGGCCATGGTGCCGAGTGCTATCGCATAGTGGAGCTCCTTGTGGCCAATGACATTCAAGCATTGACGTTTCATAGATCGGTGATCGGGGGAATTAAACGGGGAGGTTGCCATTGTGCTGATGTTGAAGGAGGAGAAAAGGATGGAAAAAGAGACGTAAAATGAACTTCGTTAAATCTAACCCTAACATCTACTCGTACTCTATGTGTGTATGCTACACAAGGTATCCTGAGCAGCTATGAACAATGCTCTGCCCAAGGATTGAACAAACACAATAACCATTAGACTTCCGCATGAATGCTCTGCCACTTGTTGATTGCTTCCATCGCCGCAGTAACCTTGAGTCCAATACGAGCGTCGAGCTCATAGCTCTCCCAGCGAGCAGCGAAGTCGAGGTATCCCTTGCACTCGGATACCTGCTTCCTCTCGATCTCTATGTTCGTCTTCCCAGATTCCGCGGACGCTTCCTCCGACGCCTCGGGGGAAGTAATCCCATGCAGGGCCTGGTATGTGGGACGCTGCATCCAGAGGTTGGCGGCCATTTCGAAATGCGCCACTGGGTGGACCCAGTCATCCTTCAGGTGGCCCTTGAATACAGACTTCTCGTGGTTCAAGACGCAGGTCAGGAGGATCTTTTTCGCCTCTTCGTGTCTGTACAGGGATCGAAAAACAGCAGCCCGGAGAAGCTCCAGGATCGCCTTTTCTTCGCTTCCCTCACGAGACCACATCTTGTTCTTTTCGCTTTCGCACCATTCCAGCCGGGTCAAAGACTCTTGCAGCTGCTCGTTGGTCATGCGACTGTGTCCGTTCCAGAAAAAGATCATTTCTTCAACCGGGTCCACTCCAATTGCATCCACCAGAGATACGTTCCATTCTTTGGCGCGCGCCTCCCATTTGGCAATTTTCCGAGTCACAAAGATATCAAACGGCAGTTGTCGGGCCATAAATCGCTTTTTCCCCGCGAATTCGGGTGCCTTCCGCATGTACATGGTGGCTTTTTTAGCATGTTCCGCTGCAAGCTTTGGGTCGTCGAGTGATTGCCGGTACAGGACAACATGGCACGATCCGGCAATGTAGTAATACAATGAACGAGACCACGTATTGAGTTCCACGCACTGAAAGGATTAGCTTGATGTTTCAAAAATCTCCAGAAAAGATTTATACCTCAATGAATGCTTCAGCGCAGACATTATATCTGTGGAGAAACAGTGCGTTCAAGCTCTTCTCGAACACGCACAACCCCTCTACCTGCTTGAGCGGGCTCTTCTTGTCCGTGGACAACACTTCCAGAGCACTGTCCAGCTTTTTATTCGCGCCTAACATCCGCGATTCTTCGAGCAGCCAAAGTTGACTGTTGGGGAACCGGAACCGCATCTCCGCCAGCAACGCAGCCAGCCTCTCCTGCGGGTATCCCTCAACGTCGGATCCACCGAGAGTTGGGTCGGGCATAATATCGCAGTAGCGGACAAAGCCATTGTAATACCCCAGCAGTGCCAAGGCAGCCATGGCACCGATAAGGTTGTGGAACTTGCTGGCTTGCCAGAGCATTCCCAGCCCTCGTTGCTTGTCACCGTGGAAGCCAATAATGGAAAGAAGTTTGCTGAACGCCGGTGGAACCATAGAGATCAGTAGAAGAAGAATACCAAAGCAGAAGTTGGAACCAGAGTGCACAAAAACATCGATTTCATTCTTGAAGATATCCGAGTCGGGGTCTTGGTGGATATGCTTCGCAAGTGTGGAAGCGCCAGTTGAAACATCTGGAGATACCGCCCTGGATGAGATTGCCAGTGAATTCATTGAGGAATTAAGCTCGGATTTCTCGATGCTAGCCATTTTCGCGCTCTTTTTCGATAGAAGACTGGACGACTCCGACTTCGTGTCTGGGCATGCAGCGCTCGAGCTTGAGAGATCACTCGCAGTGGGCCGTAAAACTTTGCGTATATCCCTCTGCTCCATAAACTTCTCTTCCATCTTCATGATCGCATCGAGTGCGATATAAGCCTTCCTCAGTCGATAGAACGCTTTGATACTTTCTGTCAGGCTTTCATTCAGCACCCCAACCACTGCACTCATCAATTGGGCGATTGCTTGGCACAACGCGTATTCGGTACCGGCAGCATAGATATCGGAGTGAAAAGCATTGGGTGCTTGGGCGTTTTGCTGGGACCGGGTTTGATCGTTGGCCGCGCTGGTTTCTGCTTCATAGAGGCGCTCGGATGCTGCGGATTGTCAGAAAATGTGGATTTAGAAGATAGAAAGAGCAATGGACCTTGTCGCATAATCTCCTGCTCGAACCCTAATGTTGCCCGGACAAACGCGACCACGCCTTTACCCAGCTATGTACTCGATCAGGAGTCAGCGCCTTTCCTCAAGGTATGTGCTACGTCATAGCTTGTATTGACGATACCCACATTGTGAAAGGATGAAGTTCCCGTGGAGAGACCACTCTCTGCGCCATCAACATCATCATTGAGAATCAGCGTTGCAGCTAGTTTCATCGCATTAGTCGGTATCTAAAGGGGCGCACATTTCCCATAGGACATACCTGTCAGCGCATCATGCACTAGCTCAGAATACGGCGGTCAGTATGCAACAAAATAATCATCATGGCTTTCCTAGAGTGTATCGCCACTCACAGTCTTTCAACTCAACCTTCGAGTCCACGGACTGCGCCGGCTTCTTGCCGTACAACCAGGACCCGACACGCAACATGGCGAAAACCGCTGGCAGTGAGTATGAAGAATGAAATTTTCAATGGGGACACAATCCACGATGGTCTCAGTCAGGACAATCCGATCAAGCCGAAAAGAGAGAGCGCCGGATCGGGAGGAATGTCAATATGTCAACTGTGCTGAAACTCAACGGTCGAGAACATCACTGATACAAGAGAATAACAAAGAGAAAAGAGAAAAGACACAGAAAGAGGTGGGGAGGTGGAGAAGGAAGGTCGAGGGGGAGGGGGAAGCTGTAATATAGCATGTCCCCGGTGCTGAGGCTCTTCCCATGGATTCTTTTCGCCGGTAGCTCCGTGTGGGCAATTTCTTATAGAAGGCCAATTCCACATCGATCGGTTATTTTTTGCTCTATTTCATAACATAATACTCTTTTATATTTCTTATATTCTCTTATATTCTCTTCTTCGGAATCACTCATTCATTTCTTTCTTTTTTTTCCATTTAAATCAACAACGCTGTGCTGTTTTCCGAGGTTCTCTCCCAACTACATCATCGTTATCGCCTTATCGCGGTCTTACTAAGTCAAACCTCCGACCTCCGACCTCAAAGCTGCCACATCCACGTCCACATCTCCACCTATCTACCTTTCGATCTCCCCCGTCTATCACATCTCCCACAATGTCAAACCCAACTACCCAGAAAGCTGATGCCACAGAGCAGCCCGCACCACAAGCGAAGCCTCAAGTCTTGGAGGAAGACGACGAGTTCGAGGATTTCCCCGTTGAAGGTATCGACCAAGCACTCAAGCCCTTCCCTGCAGCAACGAAGCTAACTCTACGACACACAGACTGGCCCCAAGAAGAAGCCGAGCAGGCCAATGGCTCGACAGCAAATGACGGTAGCGAGCACCTGTGGGAAGAGAGCTGGGATGACGATGATGCCGCGGAGGACTTCTCAAAGCAGCTCCAGTGAGTTTGCCTTTCCCAATACTTCCCGATTCTCCGTATACTCTTTATGCTATGCTTCTTATCCACGAAACCTCTTCCATCTTTGTACCACACCACCACCGACGCCCGCACCCCCATCCCCGCCAAAGCTCCCGCCTTCCCCTCTTTCACCGCACCCACTAACATCCATCACCTCATCCAGGGAAGAATTGAAGAAAGTCGAAGCATCGGCTTAAACTAGACGAACCTGCACAAGCGCACCAAAAAGAAATAACCCCGGCGTCGGGTTTCGGGATGGGCTCATTATCGAGTTGGCTGGCCATTCCATCTCGCACACTATACCCCCCTGTCTTTGGAACCAATGGGAGGATTCAGAAGCATTATTGCCACATGCATTTGTCAGGAGCTTTTCGGGAGCTTGCCGGGGAGGAAATGAGACACGGTCCTTTTGACTTCTTTTTACGATTCATTACTCAGCGCAGATCTTGGTTTCGGGATTATCATGATGTTCCACTAATATCAAAGCTTATGATTCTGCGCAAGCCTAAAATTATATTATGTAGGAGGATGGACGGAAGTATCAGTCGGAGTTGCGTTGCGAGGTGGAGTTGTGAATGGGATTGGCATGGTTCGGCCATATTCATGACACTATAGCGTTGCGGTAGGAATTTCCTCTCATCCTTATACATGAGAATTGACCACGATAGATTTCTCGACGTCGTAGCTAAAGCTTCGGTTTCGTACCTAAGCACAACACTTAGTTATCTGAGCTAAGAACACAATCGAGATCTCTTTTGGAAAATGAGTTTGTAATTAAAAGGAAATTCATTGGCTGTATACATTACAGTTTCATAAACATGCAGGACAAAAGGAGAGCCGATGTAGACTCTCCCTTCACCACCTATTTTTCATCATTTACTTACTGGACAGAGCAGTAACACCAGGCAGCTCCTTGCCTTCGAGAAGCTCGAGCGAGGCACCGCCACCGGTCGAAACGTGAGAGATCTTGTCCTCGACCTTGTACTTGGCGGCCACAGTAGCGGTATCACCGCCACCGATGATGACGATGGAACCGGACTCGGCAGCCTTGACAGCGGCATCGAGGGTAGCCTCGGTACCCTTGGCGAAGGGCTTGAGCTCGAAGACACCGGGGGGACCGTTCCAGAGGATGGTCTTGGCCTCGGCAATGGTCTTCTGGTAGAGCTTGACACTCTCGGGGCCAACATCCAGACCCATGAAGCCGTCGGGGATACCGGTAGCGTCAGTAGCCGCACCAACGGTGGCGTCGGCAGAGAACTTATCGGCGGTGACGTAGTCAACGGGGAGGACGATCTCGACGTTGTACTTCTTGGCCTTCTCGACGATCTCGCCGACTAACTTGCTGCCGGCCTCGTCGAAGAGACTGTTGCCGATCTTGACGTTCTCAAGAGTCTTCTTGAAGGTGAAGGCCATGCCACCGGTGATGATGAGGCTGTTAACCTTGGGCAGGAGGTTGTCAATCAGCAGGATCTTGTCAGACACCTTGGCACCACCGAGTATGGCGAGGAAGGGGCGCGCAGGGTTCTCAAGAGCCTTGGCGAAGTACTCCAGCTCCTTCTTCATGAGGAAACCGGCAGCCTTCTGGGGGAGGTCCACACCGACCATGGAGCTGTGAGCGCGGTGTGCGGTACCGAAAGCATCGTCTGGATTGATGTTAGAAATAAATGAACGACAAGAAATAGTAATGGAGTGTGGTGTTACATACTGACGTAAACGTCACCGAGGGCAGTGAGCCCCTTGCGGAATGCATCAACATCGGCCTTGTCGGCCTTGACCTTATTGCCCTCGGCGTCCTTAGAGCTGCCCTCCTCCTCGGCATGGAAACGGAGGTTCTCAAGCAGAATGACCTGGCCACCGGAAGCCTTTTTCACGGTCTCCTCGGTCTGGGGACCAACGCAGTCATCGACGAAAGTGACGTCCTTGCCGAGAAGCTTCTCAAGCACGGGAACAACGGGCTTCAAGCTGTACTTGGGGTTGACCTTGCCATTGGGGCGGCCGAGGTGAGACATGAGCACAACGGCCTTGGCACCGTTGTCGATGGCATACTTGATGGTGGGCAGGGCACCGACGATACGCTGAGGGTTGGTAACGTTCTTGTTATCATCGAGGGGAACATTGAAGTCAACCTGTTTCAGTCAGCGGTTAGGAGCTGCGAGTAATGAAGCTCAATGAGCTAGAAGCTTACCCGGATCAAGACACGCTTGCCCTTGAGGTCGACATCAGTAATGGGGAGCTTGTTGGCGAGAGACATTTTGGATGGCTAATGATATGACAATGGTAAAAGAAGCAAGAAAGATAGAAGAAGGAGAAAGAACTTAATCAGGCCACGGTGAGCTCGCGATCATTAAAGAGTGGAGGGGTCGGTTTTGGTGGGGCAAGGCCGGTGAAAAGGCACCCCCGTAGCAACGGGGTACCCACAGGTAATGTATTCCGCCGAAAAAGGTACTTGTTCGGACCATGATGCTATCATTATTTACGAGGTATCTCTATAAAATAGGTACCTCACTTTCCCGTACCCGACTCTCCCCGGAGAACTGATCGGGCTGACGCGGGACTGATGTCAGAGCTGCCCGCGTTGATACGGGGAAGGCCGGGCCATAAAGGCCCTCTTTAGCCTCGGGGTCGGGAATTTCTGGGAAGATTACCTCTACTGATTCCATAGCCGCTACTCCGTACATGCTTGCATGTTTTCCGAGTCCAACAGAATCATGTGAAGCTCAATGGGGGTTGAAAGGCTGAAAAGCTGAAACACGGAATTCTCCTGAAGCATTCAAGTCAAATCACAAAAATAGTTAACAGCAAAACCCCGAGTTGGTATTCCCAAATGTGCAAAATCTGACCTTTTGAAATGCAAACCCTGTCCGCGGGCAACCATGTACATGAAAGCCAGACTGACCAACCGAAACTCCCAAATAATTTGACATAAGAAGGAGTGTACTTTAAGCATTTTACACCCCGAATCGTTATCATGATTTCGCGTTGAATAGCGTTCAATTAGGACTCCTCGGAGGAGTTAGTCAGAGAAAGGTATGCGGTCCATGCAATACCAACGGTTGAGACGAATGGCTGGGTTGAGAAGTCAGTATGGGTCCTATCCCAACAAAGAGAACTTAGGAGAACTTAAGAGAACTTAGGAGACTTACGATCTGGAACTGAATGGGAACGACACGGAAGTTTAGGATCTGCACTGCCGGCCAGAGCACAAAGTTGGCCTTTAGGGTAGGCAGGTAGACATCACGGAACTTGTTTGTCAATGCCCTTCTACCACCACCCTCGGCGATCGTCATGTAGGTGAAGAAGACCACCAGACCTAGATAAATCAGTCCAGTCCAAAGACATCCCAAAGTAGCTAGAGGCAGATCATACCAAATGGCGCAAAGATTAACTGGTCAAAGGCGACACGCTTGAAAGCTGGGGCCGTCGGGTTCTTCTTAGTGAGTGGGAATGCTCTGGACAAGAAGCCGAACCACTGGAACTGCAGCGGTGCCATGAAGAAGCCATAAGCCATGAATCTCGTCAGACGCTCAAAATCGAAAGGCGGCAACGAGCTCCGAACATATCCCGATTCCCCTACAGCAGAGGGCTTGTGCATGTCAAAGTCGGGGATCTCGATCGATAGGAAATCGTCTCCGCTTGTCTGAGATCGGCGGGTCCGGAAGGCCGTAATCAGCTGCGCAACGGTATCGGCAACACCACCAAGCACCTGTAACATCCATTTAGTCAGCTGTCAGTCCAAACTTTGGTGATCAATATCGCGGCAAGCTTACAGCGTTGGTGACCATCGTCGTGAGCACTATTTACAGTAGTGATGTCAGTCTGTGATCCCGCGGGAACAGGCGGAAAGAGGCTTACCTGGCCTTTCAGCATAATAGGTATTGAATTTGGTAGCAAGGCGTGCTGCTACTGCCATCTCGACGAGGAAAATTATCGTGTGCAATAAAGGCTAGAAGATAATGACCACAGGGTTAGCCGTAATCAAATTGAGAGGCGACAATATGTCAGGCTTTAGGAAGGTGCATACCACGCGACCGTAAATATATCTCTTATTCAGTCCATCCAGGACTTTCCGCTTCGCAGAGCAGATCATGTTGGAGGGTTCTGGCGACTGGGAGCGGAGTGATGGGCAAGATTTCTGGGAAGGAACCAAATGCGCCAGTATGACGCAAAGACCAAAGAAACCGGGGCAGTTGAAAAGCAAAGTTGAGAAGCTGGATATTGAACCCAATCCCCAATATTCAGAAGGGAATCCCAGTTACGATGATGATATGAAGGGAAGAAGATAACTATGTAGTTAGCTAGCCCTCTCCAAATTCCCGCCTTTGTGACTAACAAAGTCACGACGCCGAGTCGATTACCCCGTGATCTCCTTCCACCAATCACATTCGTTGAACTATACCTTGCTGCCTCGGTGTATTTACCCTACACCTACTCCGTATACATTGACTTCATGGATATAAATTGTATTGTATAACTCCATTTCATCTTCCAACCGATTCCAACAGTTCTATATATCTTTCTTTAACACCGCCTCATTGGAGCAATAGTAATGCTTTCACGCCGTTCGAGGCGCTTGGCGTTTCAAGATCGCAGTCCAGCTACTAAACAGGAGATACCGGGCAATGAAAAGGTACAAACTAGATATTGGGTCCGATGTAGTCTCTCGAATTAGTTGCTCACCTTAAAAACACACCATGAGAGGCAAGAGGAAAATAATATGTTAAGGACAGGCCACTTTGAAAGTAGCTATAGCTTTATGTCATATATATATACAGTGGTGGGCTACTCTTAATTAAAGCGAGGCTGATCATCCGCCAAAATGTCCGGAAGATCTCGGATATCAGTCGTTTCGTTCGTGTTCACATCTACAAGCCGGACCGCCTCCAAATGAAGTGGGCCTGTGGCTAGGGGAAGGAGTTTGAGTTCGGTCGAATGGCAAGTTCCTGGAAGGAGGGGGCTAATAAAACGTCAGCTTAGAGAATGAAATGAAAAGGAACACAGTAGAGAATACTCACCCCACGCGAATGTCTGTGCTCAAGCTGATCAGTTCCACTTCCTGACCAGCCACACTCTTTTGCCTCGCATGCACGATATTATCGTCAGTCACCGCCTCGGCCACTTGGTCCTCTTTCCGGCTGGTAATAGATGATGATGAAGGCCGAGCAACATGGCCTCGTGGGTCCACACTTTTCCGCTTGGG